GAAAACCTTGACTTTCTATTGGTTATAGGTAATATATAATGAAACATAAGAGAGAACTATCAATGAATTGTGAAAGAGAGGATGTGACAGGTGGGTGTAGCAGGAGGGGTCTGATTTTCTATTTGATAGCTCTATAACCAAACAAAATTAAATTCTATAAAAATTATGGTCTGTTTGAGCAATAATGATTTTATAGAGAGTATTTTATGTTTAATTTTGTACATTTTCGAGGGGTGATGGATAGAATAGGGATGATGACATGCTAAGGAAAAATGTGTCACGTGGGTCACAATAGTGGAAATTTGGGATTTTTTTATATATTTACTTGTAGAATTAAGAACTTAAAACTTGTATAATATTAAAATATGGATTATTAGCTAAACTTTTATGCTATTCTAATTGGTATAACATAAAAAAAAAGCAGTTTAATAAAATTTTGAATGTAAGACACTAAAACCTTGTGTCATGCACAGTAAAGGGTACTCTGGGAGAGAGGGTTAATGGGGCTCCTGGGTGTTGAGTGGCTAGGGCATGACAAACTGTAGTGGTAGTTCTACCTCATCCAACACTTAGCGGCATCTGGAATTGTACATCAGGTCCGCGGTAGGAAGAGTCTCAACGTCATGGAGCATCAGAGATAGGCAGCAATCCCTGTCTGCTTTACTCATGATTGTCCATGAGTGTACGGTTCAGGATGAACATACTTATGAAGCAAAGGACCACTATAAAAAATACACTGTTTGTCCTACAGAACACCCCATCTCAATAATGTACATAATCTAATCCTGTGAGATAATTGGTTTGGCAAAGATAACAATTGGAGATACACATCCAACACCTGGAGACATTTGGAATTGTACATCAGGTCTGCAGTAGGAAGAGTTGTAATGTAACTGACATTGAGCCTGGTCACAGAATGGGCAGTGCAGATTTTCAAACAAAAAAAGTCTACCTGGTTATGTACCACTTGCTACAGAGTGGGATCCACAAAACACCAACAAAGAGGCCCCTGTAAAGAAAAACATCCTCTATGGTACTGGTTTTATTGAGTCACAAGGTGAAGTCAGTGAGTAAGAAAGGAGAAAATTGGAGGTCAAGGGAACCCATATGAGGAACTAGTGATTATGCAGAGTCCATTGTTGACATCATAAATGAGCACAACATGGAAGCCCCAAGTCCCCAAAAGAGAGAGAACCTCTCATACAATGGGAGAAGTAGAAGATAGGGCATGGGAAATGAATCACCCCACATCCTTCAAAAGAAAAGAAGTCCAAGCCATGTGGAGATTCAAACAGAAAAAACACCCAAATGAAGGAGATACTAAGTGGGTGTGAGATGCAATTCCTCCAAGTTGACTAACCAGACCAGACACACCGTCTGTATGACTGGAGGAAGCTTGTTGTGATGGATCCGAATGAGAAAATATGTTCCTGAGACATCTACCTTAGTCATTCTAAGACCGCTGTACGATGAGAAAAGTCCCCCTGATTAATTGAGGGAGGTAGAGAAATCAACTGAGATATGAAATAACTATCACCAGACATCTTTGATGCAACAAAAAGATGGAAATAAAATCCTGTAGAAGGATGAGAAGCCCGTTTGATAGCATCTTTGGCCATGGACTGATGTTGGCCAGAAACAAGAGCAGTACTCAACAACAGGCCATAAACAGAGGGCAAAGGTACATAAACCAAATTAAATTGGCCCTACTGACCCTGAAACTGTAGAATAGTCACCGCCAAGACTGAAAGCAATTATGTCTATGAGTGGTGAAAGGATGGATGAAATGGAGGGATGGGAAGTGGGTACAGGAAGTGGAGAGGAAGCAGGAGAACAGGAGAGAGAAAGAGGCAAAAAAGAGCACAGGAGATATGGAAAAACCAGTGAGGATAAGGAAGAACATTGGCATGTGACTCTAAAGAAACAAGCATTCCAGTAATTGCATTGGCAGATGAAAGGAGCCAGATGAAGGCATATGAAATAAAAGGAAAGCAAAAGCACTTGAGTAACAAGAACATCATGCTCCAGCAAACTAGCAAAAGAGCAACCAAATATGAAGTGATAAGGCCAAGGACGATAAGAATGCCACTGTAGAAAAGATACGTGAATGAGCATCTGCCAAAAACCCTCAGAAAAATGATGGATTACTAAGGAAAGAAGGTGAATGGAGGAAAAATAATGTAAAAGGGTAAGATGAATGTGGGAAAAACTAAACCTATGAAAGATGAACAGAAAACTGTCAATTTGACCCATAAGTCTGAAGAAAAGACTCCAGAGTTTAGGAGTTGAAGACAAGTAATACAGTGTGAAGTTATGCCTAGTCAAATGAGGTAACAAAGTAAGGAGGATGAGGCATGCATGTAACAAAGTTGTGGTAATACTAATCGAACATGTACTTGTATATCTGGAAAGGAAAGAAAAACATCAAAGCAAGAAGCAGGGAAAGAATTACAAAATGACAGAAAAAATATACTTGAGAAATCTAGTCATGAAATCGTGAAAAAGATTTAGGTAGATTCAAAACAGCACATGGGTATAGGATTAGGCAAAGGTAGATGGTGGGATAAAACTGCCAAAATCCTTTCTGTCACAAACGAGAAACATAGGTGGAGGTATGTCAGGTACAAAAGAAGGTCCAAGCCTCATGAAAGACTTCACTACCTGCAATACAAAAGCTGTCACTTCCCCAACAGACAAACCCAATGCCAATTTACTTGTTAGGCTAGCATGAACAACATCTTGTTGTCTCACACCACACAAAATGGAAGTTACTGAGACTCATGAAATAATAATATGGAAATAAAAGACCACAAAATATATAGGTGGAGAAACTGTTGGTAAAGAGAAATCCAACAATAAATACTTCCACAAAATATAACGTTTTTGTAGATACTCCCATGAAAAAAAAAGGGGTTAACGAGTGACAAAAAAAAATCATCATTACACACAAGTGTGAAATCGAGAGGTGATGACTGAATGATTAATACAGAGGAAGCCAGCTGCACTAGGAGGGTGTGTCACACTCCTGTTGGTGGAGAATTGTCAAATCAAGAAGTGATGACTGAACGATAATAAAGAGGCAGCCAGCTGTACTAGGAGGATGTGTCACACACCTGTTGGTGGAGAGTTGTCAATTCAAGAAGTGATGACTGAACAATTAATACAGGGGCAGCCAGCTGCATTAGGAGGATATGTCACACTCCTGTTGGTGGAGAGTTGTCAATTCGAGAAGTGATGACTGAATGATTAATACAGAGGCAGCCAGCTGCACTAGGAGGGTATGTCACACTCCTGTTGGTGGAGAATTGTCAAATCAAGAAGTGATGACTGAACGATTAATATAGAGGAAGCCAGTAGTACTAGGAAGATGTGTCACACTCCTGTTGGTGGAGAATTGCCACACGCTTATTTGCATGCTACAGCACAGCAATAGCACTTGGAACACATGAGTTTAGGTGGGAGCCTCAAGGCTAGTAGAGAGCAAAAAAATTGTACATATAGAGGGCAGTACAAAATCAGGAAAAGCGATTATGTGAGGTAAAGTATCATATCAGAAGTTAGGTATCAATTTATCTGAGAGATGTTTGGTATTCAACATTCTCCAGTAAAGTGTAGTGAGAACAAATATTTTGTAGATAAGAAAATAAAGAGGATTCTACTTATTAATAACGGTCCCATCATCCTATACAAGTATCTATAAAAAAATACGTTTGTTACAATTTGCTTGGGCTGTCATGATTAAAATCCCTTAGTCATCTTACAAAACTACAGTACATCAACATTAAATAATAATGTTATTGGAACTAAAGTCTACTTATAATTAAAAATTAGCTTCAAATGTTAATTTAACTGTTACAAATGTTCAGTATGTATTCTTCATCTGTATATAAACTAGACTGCTTCATTATGAAAATTCTACAAATATTACCTTAATTCTGATGTCACCACACTGTACGGCAGATTAACACTTTAATAGTAGTTGAGAATAAAGATACAATAGGATATGAGCTGGCATCATTCTTAAACAAATTCAAGAGTCAGCTCTAACACTAATAGTACAATAAATCTAATGGGGTATGAGCTGGCATCATTCTTAAACAATCTCAAGAGTCAGCTCTAACACTAATAGTACAATAAATCTAATAGGGTATGAGCTGGCATCATTCTTAAACAATCTCAAGAGTCAGCTCTAACACTAATAGTACAATAAATCTAATAGGGTATGAGCTGGCATCATTCTTAAACAATCTCAAGAGTCAGCTCTAACAGTATGTGAGCTGACATCATTCATAAATAAATTCAGCTACATAATAATAATTAACAAAAAATGAAGAAATACACCTCACGGTAGAAACATATGGGGTTTACTGCATTCACTCAGACACAGCTAACAGAAAATTCTCCCACTGTAGTGGGTCAACTATGGAATGGTGGATTTCATTTAAACAGGTGTTGCATTATCCAGCAGTGGAAGATTTAATGTTTAGGGGAAAAAGTTCAAACTCACTACAGGACATAATTTAACTAGAGATATTAAGTCATCAGATTTGTCCAACTCCCATTTGATTTGAGTGAACAGTTTGCCTGATCATGTCATTTATTTTAAACCCTGTTCAGTTAAATAAAAATATTTGTTCTCAAAGAGTGATACTGCTTAAAATACAACCAACTTAGGATTGGCAATGAACAGAATTATATCAGATAAATGATGAAAATAATGTTATTTAAAACAATCTGATATGATCACAACTTGAACCAAAGACTTCCCACCTCTCGCTAGTTGATTAAACTACCAACACGTAAACCTGACAATTCACTGGCTGAGAAAGTCACCATAGCCTACTTAAGATCAGTTAGCAGCTGAAAAAACTATTTGGGCTTTTAAGTAGAAACCTAGATGGCTCAACAGAAAAAAAAATAAAAACAAGGTTGAAATGAATCATTGTTATTATAAAAGTAGCATTTCAGAAATTTAATTTTAATCATAAATAATACCTTACCTCCTTTAAAAGTCTGTTATATTCTTTTCTTCTCTCCTCAGCTAGTTGTCTTCTTCTTTCCACATCATTACCCAGAGGAAGTCCAAAGTCTTCCGCATCATCGACAGGTAGAATTGTTCTTCGATTAGACTTGAAATTAATTACATTAATTAATAAAATATTTTAAGTTCACTTTAGTTATAAAGCTACCAGTTTTTATTTTTATCTTGTAGTTAAAAATTCTAACAAAGTGTAATAAGATCTGACTCAATATATACTTTTAGTTTTATTCTACTAAAATTTTTACAATGTTTGAATCATAAGTTCAATAAAACTTAAGCTTTAAATTAAAGGATAAGATAAAGATTAAGTGGTAACACACCCATAATTATCCATACTATTAAACAAATCCTAAGTTACAGAAAACATAAATAAAATAGTTATAATTTTCCTATGCTGAAAATGTATTTCCAATAGGGTGGGAAGTGTGAGTGGAGGGAAGTACCTATCAGAAATACATTTTCAGTATAGGAAAATTATAACTTCTGATATGGTACTTCCCTTCACTCACAAGATTAGCTAGAGTCCCACAATGATTAGGTGGAGGGACCGGTGCAAGAGAAGAACAAACATACCCCCCTTCCCCCAAAAGCATCTGAAGGATACCTCATCCTTGACACAAGGATTAGCTCCAAACTATCAATCTGGGAACTTGACATATGGTATCGAAAAGGATGTCTATTGCACGCAATCAACTCCCCCAACCACGAAACAGGCCGGGACCTTCCAAATGGCAATAACATCCTTATAAGAAGAGAGAACAAGGGATAGCCAAGGACAGAACCAGAACAATCCCAGAGTACCACTGCTGTATCCCACAACACAGACAGAGTAAATCAAGGGTGGAAGATAGACAACCCAAAACCTGTGTGAGGACTTAAATCTAAATCCAACACCAGTCCAATGGGTACTAACATCTACACGATTGTAGGATGAGGGCTTCCAATCAAAGGGGTGAACTACATTTTTGACAGCTCAACTCCAGTGGTTGTGTAAATGGTATCATCCAGCAAGGTGAAGGTTCAACTCCTCTGGAGGCCACGTCTAATCTACATCAGCAGAACACCACTACCCTACTCTCAACTGAATGGTTATAGCCATCTTTTTTGTGGAACCCATTCAGGAAGTTGCCTCCATGGTCAACCACCCCAGCAGCTTGGAACTGGGAAGTGGTAAGGACTCCCACACTCCACTAGAAGAAAGGAGGGTAAATACGTGGTGGAGAGTCCATAGGAATGTTACCACCAGAGACAATGCAATGGGTGACCACAAAACCCTATTTTGAAAAGCAGACCATACCGATTTATTCAATCAAGGCATGGCAAAGATGGACAGCTATCCCCTTCTGCTTTACCCATGCAGTCCATAGGTGGTACAGTCCGGAATGGGCATGTTTATGAAGCAAAAACATTGTAAAGTTATTCATCTTCAAGCGATCTTGTGGAACATCCCATCTCACTTGTGAGCACTATGAAGCCATGGAAGATACCTCAATTCAACATGGCTGTACAGTACAGATTTCAATTGAAGGATATCTGGTCATGCACTGCTTACCACGAAGAGGGATCCAAATAGTGAATAATGAAGCAAGGGCCCCTGAAAGGAAAGAAATAATGAATAAAAACTTACCCACTTACAGCCACACCGAAGTATGAAAAATGGTTACAAGTGGTACACGAAAACCCAATGAGGAAGAAACCATGATAACGTGTAAATAAGGGGAGACAAACATATTAGGTGTAGTCCTCATGCCCGAATGGAGGAGTTCTCCCAATGGCTGATGAGATGCCAGGGAAAAGGTAAACATGATGAATCTGTTGAGAAGATGCCTTAAGTCAGGTGAAGAAGGAAAACATAATAATCAGGTGGTGTAATTTCACCCATTAAAGAAGGGAAGGAATCATAGGATATTGAAAAAACATTTAACACACAATATACCTGATTAATCAGTTACAAAAAGAGATTGGAAATGATATTTCAAGAATGAGTGTAGAGTGTGACTGATCAAAAAAGGAAGAATCAGAAAAATCTAGTCCAAATTTTTTTCACCTTGATGGTATTCTTCCTCAGAAACATGTTCAGGTGGACAAGGAGAAGAAATTTCCTGCCAAACATAAGACTCTAACTCCTTGCGTATTAAGGTTTGCTCTTCTCAGCAGATAAAGTCGAACCTGTGTCTTGGGAAGCCATGCCATTTCCATTGTCGGTTGTTGTGAGAATTTCATTGTCAACCATATTAAACCTTGAATTCATACTAATAACACGTAAAATTTGGGAACCAGAAAAGTTTTAAAAGGAAAAATTGTAGAAACAATTGATAACAAACCCAAAAATTTTCAAATTGTTGAATAAACTTCATACAAAACGTCAACAAATCACAATTAAAAAATGTAGTCACACTTGGAAAAATCAAACACACATCTAATTGATGTAATCGAGAAAGTGAGAATTGAGTGGGAATAGCAGAGAGAGCTAGCTGTGTCGGAATAGGTGGTTCATAAATAGCACAAAACTGATGGGGTATATAAAGACTAGTGTGCTGATTGCAAACATTTTTTTAGCATTGCTTAGAAGGCAGACAAGGATCAAAATAGCTTTGTGAAAGAGGAAATTAGACCATATCGGAAAACAATACTATCAACAACCATGATCTTTAAACAATCAAAAAGCTTTCCATCTTAAACTAGTTTAGCTGCCAGAACATGGGACAGCTCTTCTTCAAACTGAATATGTACATACAGTGGCTCAGTATGAATTTACTCACTTTTATCCTTATTTAATAATCAAGTTCATCATACTTCTCTCTGGCCAAAGGTAAATAAAAGAACAGGAGTCACACAGTGATACTAAACAATTTAGAGCAATATCATGAACAACTCTGTAATAAACTCTCAATACACTGTATCATTATGTCACTTAGAAAATATCAGATCATGATATCTATTAACTTGCCAAATCACATGAATTTCTCATATACAAAACCGAAACTAAGTAGAAGGTCTTACAGCAATCATGATAGAACCATTCTTTACTTCAGAGACAGGAAAATTTGATGTTAGAAACTGCTTCTCAACTGAACCAAAGTCTTGTGCTGATTCCTGAAATAAAAACTAAAGTTAAGTTTCAATTTATCTGATAGATGTTTGGTATTCAACATTCTCCAGTAAAGTGTAGCGAGAGCAAATATTTTGTAGATAAGAAAATAAAGAGGATTCTACTTATTAATAATGGTCCCATCATCCTATACAAGTATCTATAAAAAAATACGTTTGTTACAATTTGCTTGGGCTGTCATGATTAAAATCCCTTAGTCACCCTACAAAACTACAGTACATCAACATTAAATAATAATGTTATTGGAACTAAAGTCTACTTATAATTAAAAATTAGCTTCAAATGTTAATTTAACTGTCACAAATGTTCAGTATGTATTCTTCATCTGTATATAAACTAAACTGCTTATAGTATCTGTAAAATAACTATGACTTTACCACATTCTGTCAAGCAGGTAATCAATGGTTTTTTAATATTTGTAGGTTAATTCTTATTTCACTATATTCCACAAATCAGGTAACCAATGTTTTTATAGCTTCAAGACAACCATGATCACAGCAATGATAAGAATAATGATAAATACAATAGTAAAATTTAAATGAGATTATCTTACTAATAGCAGTAAACACACACTTCATTCTTAATTGAGTCTATGTTCAACTTGGATTATTTTTACATATTAACAATGTTTACAATCTTACTGTTTTCAGTAGATACACACTTCATTCTTAACAGAGTTTATATTGAACTTGGGTTATTTTTCCATATTTCCAATAAAGGCATTTCATAAACACAAAAACTCAAATGTTGCCCTACTTGTGTATACAAACATACATATATATATATATATATATATATACATACATATACATATGTAATTAAAAGTAAATTGATGAGAGAGAGAGAA